TAATTCTGTTTTAATTCACAATTCTTGATGGGAAAATGATTAGGTCGTCTACACCGAATTTCACATGTGACGATAATATTCTTGAGAGAGGCAAATCCATTGACATATGAGATTCAATTTTTTTCAGCCCTTGCCGCTTCCACTCGTTTGCACCGGGAGTAATGAGAATTCTATCATTTAAAAGGTTACCAAAAGAGGGCACTTTTATATCAACCTTTAAAAAGTCACGCTATAGTWTGCAATTCATTTTTTCTTCCTAAACTCCAGCCTTTTCCCATAAGAAGAATTTTTAACCGGTGTTCAGTTTTGTAACAATCGAAGCAGTATAGGACATCATATGTTTCAAAGGACAAAGACAGTAAAAAGGAGTTTTCACTGTTTCAGAGCGTACAGTGACGACCTTGGATAAAATATTAATCTACAATTGTTGTACAAAACACCGCTGATATCGAGACCAACAGAAAAACGTACTTTGATCTTGGAATGCACTTAGAGGTATCAAGGGATTCAACACTCAACCTTTTTGAAATAACTGTATGTAGTGGTTGGCTAGCGGCCAAAYCAATCAATATTTTTTTCATATCCTGCATTATGACGTCACAGTGTTTGAGACAGATAATTCGGATAAATTATAGACATTTACAATAGCCACTTTGCCTCGAATAATTCTTTACATCATAATCAGCTTTGACCAATAATTGCTTAATATCTTTGATCACAATCGAGTCAATAATTCAGATAAYAGACTCGATTGATATTCATTCATCGTTTGTACATGTACCCTCCCACATTGACTYGAATGAATGTCATGGTCAACTTTTCGCCGCTACGATCAGAATCTSTATTTTAGTTGGTCGAAAACCACAAAGTTTAGACATGCCATTTCACAAGGAAGAAATAAGGTCTCTCAATTGTTCTAATCGTACCAATAGCTAGTCGGTGCTTCATAGTTGATTTTACCACGCAGAAGTATAGAAAATGATGGATCAGGAAACCTCATAAAAAAATGGTCCAAACAACACAAATAAATCTCACAAAGAAACAAATTCGCAAATGACTGAAAGACGAAACTGAACTCATACAAAAATGAATACTTGTGTCAATTTTATTTCCACAGAAGTATAAAACATCTTTATATATTCGAAAACTTTCGATACAACAACAAAAAAAGAAAGTATTTACAAGTAAATAAATAAAACTTATACTGACAKGGATGTTCGTAGAGGTTTCTGAGTAACTGCAAAAAGACTGAAGCTTCATTAGACAAAAACGAATACAAGAAAATAGYGTATGTATTACTACATAAAGTTTCTGTGGTTGGCGTTTAGTATATAGCTTAACCACGATTATCAGAGATAAGATTAATTGGAAGTTAATGTTGTAGAACGGATGGCTATTTCTGTGTTCTTTCGAGTGATTTTAGGTGGAGGATTATTTGTGGACAACTCATGTACTGAATTGACAGCAATTTTCCCGATGCCTTAATTATAGATATCAGAAAGAGCGGCTTCTTTCAATAAATCTCGTACGCAGGTTGTGGCTAGTTTGTTATGTATGTTATGACTAAAACCATCCCACGTATTYAACWGGCCAGTATTTTGGATTAAGGAACAGTGACCAAAGWTTTAGTTAGCCGCGCTTTTGCGAACATTCATAGATTTAAGAATAACAATGAATTAATACAATCGATTCGTACTYACTATTATCGCCTTAATATATTTAACCTAAAGAAAATGAAACACTCATTTAAGAAATTAGATAAGACTGTGCCATACAGTTCTACAATATAGATGTACGATAAAAAATTTTGCGCCTGATTACGAAAATATTCAATGTTAATCAACTCTTAATTCTTAATCTTATATTTTCATAACACTCCCGAATATGGGCAATTGTTTGAAATTTTGGATTACGAATTAAAACTTTATTTTCCTTACATTTTCTCTTGAATTGTGTTAGACTGACTCGATGTACTCGGGTTGAGAACGAAGCTTTAAGGCCTCAGTAAGTAGGACGCGGCAAGGCGCAATCCATTAATTCGACTCTGAGAAACAGTACAGTGTTKTATGGTTATAGGCCTCTCCCAACACTAAACACCTACCTTAAGACATATTTTGGTGTATTTTAGCGGGGGCGACGTACTCAAAAGATCTTCTATTCACATTTTTTTAATCAAAGTGTTCAAGCCGCCTTGTGTGCGATTCCGTAGTTGGAAAGATTTGATGATGGMTGCGCGCGCAGGTAAATTATAATGTCATCGATCGCTATTGAACAATTGTTACCTAAAGTGGGATGTCGGAAGCTTAAATGGACAATAACAGGAATAAAAACATGGTTTTTGGCGCTTTTCTGTAAACTTCACAAATTGCCCATTGGGATTTTTCAACCATTAACAAAATGACTCTTAGTAATTGGCCTTTCGTTTTGTTTTMATCTCAAAAGTCATTCCATTTGAGGTGTGTCTGTCATTGGATATTAGGGAATGCATCATTGATGAAGAGCACCAATTAGGAATACTGATCACGGGCAAAATAGTTAAATCTATTTAATAATTAGCCATGTTTTCATCTGTGCTAATATACTGGAAAACTACCTAATCCCTTTATTAGCAAACAAAGACCTATTTCAGCGTCATTTTGCTGTCACACGAAGTGATTAATAAGACTGGCTCTCATCAAAACAGTTCAAATACATACAATCTTATAATATCGAGAAAGTAACGACTTTTGGAGGCTTTCACGGGAGAAAATAGTATTTGACTCCGTAGTCTGTGTTTTTGTGTAATATGAAAACGCGTTTTTTCTTTGTTCTTTTTTTTTCTCTCTCTCTTGCCCTTGTAAAGATATGATGGTTTATGAAACAAGAGCGTTTAAAATTTGACAAAACACCTGCAATCCGTCTTTGGGGTCGTTCCTTCTTAGCGCGGAAGCACTGAACAAACATACTTTGTTGATAAACGATTTGAAAATGTCAATACAATGGCACTCCCGCTTTTTCATTTCAAAATGGATACCATTTGTAACAATTCATGCCATGATAAAAAAAAACAGCCATRTGTTTGAAATAAAACACAATGACAGTTTTTTTGCGCATTGAATTGACTAATTCTTTCAAAGACGTTAACCAAAAGCAGAGCTTATCTATTTTTTAGTAATTGTAGTATATTTCGATTTCAAATTTATATAGAGTGCACGCCACATAAGCATGAAACAATTCTTAATATGTATTGCTAAATAAGATTTAGTTATCAACTAACTAAGAATTCAACAAAGCATAAACACAATGCCAATTATTTAAATTTCTTTGTAGCATTGTTCTCAATTCTTAGTTAGTTGATAACTAAATCTTATTTAGCACTATATAGTTAAGAATTGTTTCATGCTTATGTGACTTGCACTCTAATTAAAATTAGTATGTAGAAATTCAGTTCCAGGTTATTTGGAATTGTTCGTAATTGTGATTTAATATCGGGGTTGAGGGTTAGCATGGTTGCAACACAGTGCTAATCAAATTTGTATCGCGTTCCTTAAATTGATCATCAAACTAGCAAATTTAATCGTGAAAAGTACTATCTTCAAAAGCAGTTCACTCCTCAAAACAAACGGTACTTTTTATCGTACAAAGATTACGTCAAATGAATTAAAAATATTGGCTTAAGAAGGGACATTTCTCAATAGCACAAAACGAGAATATTCGGAAGCGAAACACTGAAATACACAATTGCGCAAACACGCTTTATCGTAAGATCGAATCGATTAACAATGATGTATGATATACGAAGCCATTTTTTATATTAAAAACCTCAAAATTGATTATAATTAGCAATCAAGAAATCACTTTCAAAATGATCTTAACTTAAGATATCAAACTAAGTTAACTCAAAGTTTACTTTCAGACTGACTGAATTATCTTTAGTCACTGGTAAAAGCAATGGRAGTTTCCCTTTGCTAGCAATTCAAAAAATACATTCGGGTTGCGGATATTGAGAGAAATCTTGCAATTTGTTTCCAAATGGAAACACTTGTCATCMGATGTCTGAAGTCACSTAGGGAATATTTGAAAAGTAATAGGCGAATGCATCTGCTAGCAAAGTTTTTCGATGAAGATTAAAAACGAACAAACTTTAATGGAAACTAATGAGCATTTTAATGTCATGATAATTGTGAGATATCAAATTGATAAACGATTTTAAAATAAAATTGAATTGCTCCTCTCAAATTTACTTGCTTGTTTTACTTGCTTGATTTTTTATTTCTCTCTTCTTATCTTTCATTTTTTCGGTTTCTTACTTTTTTCTTCTTTATTTTCTTCTTTTTGATAACCAAACGTATGCAATTTACTTATTACAATTTAATGGCATTACTTTTGTTACATCATTAATACGAAGGATATTAGATATGAAACACAAGGATTTCTTTTTCAATTCCTCTTACCGAAAAAACGCTGAAACCGGAACCAGATCGCCAACCAAAACAAAAGAAGCAGGAACTTTGCTAAAATGTTCAACAATTAGTTTGTAAATAATATCGAAACTAGTCCAATTAATTATGTACGATTTGGTTTGGTTAACGGATTGTGAAGATCTCAATTGCACGGTCCAGACTGTTGTCTCTGAGGACTTCCGCACTCAAGCAGTGTCATTAATAATGGAGTCGTTTCTTTTGTGTTTAATAGGTTTGTTTCTTTGCACCTGTTTTTTTTATCATTCACGGACTTCACAAATAAACGGGGAAARAAAGGATTTCTTCAAAAAAGGTTTTATATTTCGTTTTCCTTAAGGATAAWTATTCTTTGTTCGCAGGTATCAATACTGTTAAAGAAATAACAGGGGTTTTTTTTTTTACTATTGTCGGAATTGTCTTCTYGCAAAACGTTTTAATAGTTTGTGAAGTTTATTTTTTGAATTGCGAACCGCCATAAAACATAACTTTTTTAGTTCATTAATTCAAAGTCATATAAATGATGCTTTTAAACTGTTAAAAGAGAACCAATGTACTCACATGTTTCGAGAAACTTCTCCTCGCCTTTTGAAGTACTCTTCATTATCGCACTTGAATCAACTTCAGGATATCTTTTGCTATCTATATCCGCGAAGAAGAACACAAAATGGCGGATTATCTTAAATTGCCGACTATTAAAATTTCAAAAACTAAGAGCTGAAATATGTCTCTGAAGACCATCAACCGATGCATTATGACTCATTAAGATCTGGATAGAATTACGTAATTAATGTGTCAACGCAGAGCGCGTTTGGTGACTCACAATTTGGTCTTCCGAAGCTATTAATGAGGCGTACCACACATGAACTTGATAAATTGAGTTTTAAATCGACAAACTTAGCACGTTTGTCCTCACCTGCCGAACTAAGTAGAGGTCAGGGTGTTGATAAMGTTTCGACTTTTAATCAAGACGCAATGAAGAACGACGTCTGACCTAGAATMTTCTGCAAAATAAATGGGACATTATTACCCACTGCAAGWTTGCACGCAAGTTGCTTACTTATCGTGGGCGATTTCGTAGCAATTAAGGGACCAAATCATCGAAAAACAACATTGCAAAAAGGGAGGGGGAGGTTGTAATAACACAGACAGCCTCACAGTAATGTTGCAAAGTATTACAAGCTTAAAATGAGATTTTAAGTGCTAATGGTATTTGTATGAGTAAATCTGTTTATCTAAATGATATCTAAATGTATAAAAACAAACGAAAATTAATAAAAAATATTGTTCAAAGCCCTAACCTGCGTTAACTTGCCAGCCACGTAGAGCGTTGTTGAGGCTTCAGTAACTTAACTCAAACTCATTCATAATTCATGATAACATTATAGACGTCACGAGGGTAAAGTGCTTTTACTATGCAAAATCAAGGTCCACAACCAGGGAAAAGTAAGGCTGCACGTCCACCTACCCATGAAACCAAAGACTGAGGAAGACCAGAAGAAATATTTCACAAGAAGCAGATTTGTTTTCAATGTAATTTATGGGCTTACCATGGTAACAAGATTTCCAAATTAAGAATTTTTCTGCACTAGCCSAAATGTCTACAACTGATTAAGAATGCATTCAACAGTCTGGAGGTATCGTTTCCGGCCTACATGTATATCTTAGTTTGTGCATACTCACGTAAAATTCCCAGGATATGGCCGTGAAATCTTCATAATATGCACTGCAATATATTGTAAAAAAAGAAGAAAAAAGACTGAAAAACAAATGAAGAATAAAATGAAAGAGAAATTCACTTTGGCCTATTCAAATCACATTTTTTTAAACAACATTTGATTGTGAACTTTTTTTCATTCGCATTTTCGATCTAAGATTAGTAAGACGATGAAGTAAGCCACGTTACTGCGAAAATTTCCCGCCATTTTTGTCGACGGTGCCCCATTTTGAAAATTGACATAATCTAATGATAATTGTCTTTATTTGCTGTTATTGTGTTATCATTATGTAAACTCTGTAATTATGTCGATTCACTAATGACCTATATATAATATTTTGATCGTAGTTAGTCTTCTCTTCTACCTTTGTTTTTTATACATTAAGCATTGTTCATTGTTCACTGATAAAACGAAATTCAAAAAATGATTAAGTTTTTAAAAAAGGAGATGAAAAATTCATGTTAGAACTAGGTCTAGGTATATATCAATCATTCCCATTAGTAAATCACTCAATACTTTCTACTTTGGCACTTTTTAAGAGTTCCTTTCCTTTTTTCCTCCTCTTGGAATTGACATTCTCAAGCTTCTGTTCAAAACTTTCACACAAAGCTCGTTTCATTAGAGGTTTGTGTGTCTTGTTACTCTCTCCAGGGATCAAATTGACACACTGGTAAAAAGTGGATATAGCACTTTGCCCCACCRGAACATCATTAACAAGATTGATYAATTCCATTAACATGGCGGCAYGYACACCATGWACTGYCCAAAGCTGTTGCAAATGYTTATTCAAAGATTGCACAGTAGTTGGTTCATAAACCCACTGAATGTCCTCAAAAACACAATCATGTAATACTAAAGGGAACTCTACAGCCATGTTGTATTGCGGTCTTTGGGGACAATTCTTCACGTCAAGAAGCTGATCTATGACTTCTGGGTTTTCAAGGTGCTGTCCAATCATTAATAAGACAGACATCATACAACGMACCTGATGCCAAAGGAAAGCAGACCCAGATATCACAGCCTCATACATTTCATARCCACTCTCTGTAGCATGYAATTTGTYGATACTTACWTGCTCTKTTAARGACATTTTATCTYKTTGRACTTTTTTCACAGAAAAAGARGTTATAGTTCTTTTAAAYTGCATAACRCCATTTGCTACATCCATTTTGCAAAAGTTTCTAAAATCATGCTCTCCCTCAAGCTTTTTGGCAGCTGTGTTCATTAGTTCTATGTTTAGATCTGCTGCAGGAAAGAAGTACTTGTACTTCCTGTAGGTACAACTGAACCTWGCATTGAAGTCTTCACTGACAGGGGCCCAGGAGATTACTCTAATTTCATCGGGGAGAAGATTGTTGAGAATCTGCACATAGGGAAGTTCTTTTGTATCTGATCCTTATAAAAGAAAGAAAAATGATGCATTATTTTAGATTTTGTTTAGGATCTTTCTTGAAAAGAAAAAAAAATACAAACCTGAACGATTGGAAAACAGTTATAACAAATTTAAATAATAAAATGGTTTATGCAAAAGAAGTGCAGTAGTTTAAAAAACAACTATCAAAAGTTATTTCACTTTTGTCTCTGTCGCTAAGGCTGCATTCATTATGTATACTACAGGGGGGGCAGAGGAAGTTTGGGGGGGATCTGAAAATTTAGGGACTGGAAAAGGAGGATATCAAATATTTTGGCGATACATAAAATGTCTATCATGGTAAAAAATACAAATCTCTATTAGAACTGTAACACTAGACTAAAAACTATTTTGCACTGATTAAAATTGTCCCAGTTTAGCAATACTCCAGTTTCGAATTCATAGTGAATAACYGCTGCTTTATTTGACAACAGATTCTCTTGCGCAAAGACCTTACAAACACAAAAGAGAGCACGAGAAAATGTCGTTATTACAATAGACTTGAAAATTTGCATTTTCCCCGAGTTGAGATTATTCCTGTATTCCCATAAGACCTAAKGTATGAGCAGGGTTAGCCTCAACTCGGGGAAAATGTAGATTCTTAGCGCTCTATTGTATTAACAACATTTTCTCATGCTTTCTTTTGTCTTTGGTAAGTTCTTTGCGAAATAGAATCTGCTGTCAAGTAAAACAGCGGTTATTCGCKTTGAATTCGAAACTGGAGTATTTAGCMATTACAAATACATTAAAAACATACAAATAAAATTATAGAGTAATGGAAACATCTTGCCGCTTBGCGGCTCGACAATATAGTAAGCAAAGSAATAAAAGACAAGCCTCTTCAACCAGGCTAACAGAGATCGATCATCACTTTCATTATTGTTGCTGCTGCAAAAAGTATATTCATCACACTCTCTAATATCAACTGCATCAACAGGATTTCCCATAAGCTTAAAGTATTGCATGCTGGACTAGTAAATGTAAATGACCAGAAAATACATTGAGCCCATTTTCAGTGCTTCAAGATGAAATCTAGTCTTTTGAATATATAGGTGTAAACACAGTGACAGGAAGAGGATCTAATATGCTTCAGTTTCCAATCATTTCTCTGTTGTTACTCAACTGCGCTCATATCTTGCATTGTATGTTCATGACATCATCTTTTTGAACTCAAACACAAGAGAGGCAATCTCAGAAACTAGAGCGAGCATAGCATAAATCTTTCTGTTGCTGCATCCTCTCTCTCTCTCTCTCTCTCTCTCTCTCTCTCTCTGCAAATATATGATCACAGTAGAAGAACTCAAGAGAAGCAAACTTAAAAACTCAAACAACTTAGAAACCCCAGCAAGTGGATGTAAATTGTTTTCATTCTCAAGTTCTCTTAGGTTGACCACAGGGAACCCAACACTACCTTTTCCTTGTTCAAGAAAATCCTCTGACTGTATAATTCCCACTCCTTCAGACACGTTAGACCGGACGTCCAGGGAAACGACTTGTCTAAAGGCACTGACGCCTTTGTCTGTCCGTCCACATCGTGAATAGTTGCTCTCTTCTCTCGTTTCTACGAGCCGTGCCTTTATCAATGCATCAAACAGAAAAGCCTCAACAGTCGTGTCAATGTTTTCCTGCGCAGCAAATCCATGCATGTCCCAACCAAGATACGCTATCATTAACGCGATATGTCTCTTATTGTATCTCTTGAAATCAAATTCTCGTTTTGAAGATTTCTTGTGCTTTCCTGTCTTTTTCTCCTTTTCGCCAGAGTCACTACTTTTTACTGAMGATTTTGTAATGCTAGGAATATCAGGAATACTAACCAGCATTTTTTCTTTCTCTTTCTGAAGCTGTAGTATTTTGTCAACCAGTTCATTTTTCGAAAGTWTTTYTAAGTATTCTCGAYTGTSTTCGTCGGCCATGTTGATTCTGTGTATCCCATAAGTCATTGCATRTATGGTATAACCGCTGATGGATTGGACGAGCCAGCGAACAAAACAAYATGGCGGTGGTGTTCCATCGAAGCTTTACCAAAACATTGCTCCAAACTTGTAGTAGAGCTTTATCTGTCGTTACTAAAAAGGTATCAATGCTAAGAGTATTGTATAATGTATAGTAAAGTGATTGAATGTTGTTTATTTCCCCTCCAGTACTTTTGATTAAATATAAGTAAACTTGTAACACGACCTTTTCTAAATTTTACGATCTTGAATCGAATCTCAACCATCCTCTTACGATCTTGCTCATGAATTCTATAGGATCCTAAGAAAGATTTGCATTCGATTTCATAGATTGATAGATTTGATGTTGATTGATAGATTTGATTTGAGTCTGCTATAGATGTAGCCTCYCTGCGTCTGCTGTTCCTCCCAACCCCTTCCCTACATATAMCCTACCCAAACTCGCAATGACATTTTACAATGGTTGATGCCTTTAATTCCATATTCCCAATGAAAATAAATGACTCTTTGAAGATGTTATTGTTAAGAGCAGATAAAAAAAGCAGTAACAACAAAACTAGACAAGCTTGTGTTGCTGGGACATTTGGGCTTACATGAATAGCTGTCACCACAGGCAACCCATAACTTATATGCATTCTGTGTTATTGWTGTTTGATGAACATTTTTATGATCTTCTAGAACTTAGCATATTCTCGTGACCATTCTGTTCCTCCTCTTGCCAAATATGGTGGTCGTAATACAGTTACATTGATCCCTGGAGATGGGATAGGACCAGAAATGGTGATTGCTGTCAAAGATATCTTTAGGTGATTATTATAATGATAACGATAATGAAGTAATAGTCAATACTAATAACATTAACATTTTTTGTTTTTGTGTGTGTGTGTGTTCTGACTTGTAGACATGTTGGAGTGCCGGTAGACTTTGAAGAACTCAATGTAAGGTAAAATAAAATGACAAATTATTGTTAAAATATTCATTTCTTTTTTCAGTGTTTTTGTCTTTGATGCTTTAAAATATTATTGAGATTATTAAGATTGAATATGAGTATACCAAAACAAATGGTCATTATTTTACCGTGCATGATATAACAGTAGTTTATTATCTTSATTAGTGATGATTTATACTCTGGTTTCTAGTGGTTTGCATATCGTAGACCAAGATTCCCATGAAGATGCCATGGATAATGCCATAACATCTATCAAAAGGAATGGTGTAGCTATAAAAGGTACCATTATCAACAGAGAGGCAAAGGGAGCAGAGACTAGTACAATAGTGTTGGAGCTGACTTCTGSTTCTGTAACAGTTATCTCCTTCACTGTCATTTTACTTTCAAGGTTTCCTGTCTYTATCCTTAAACTATACAAATGTTCATGTATAGTAATGAAGAGGGACAGGGATCCCAAAACAGATTATAGCATCATGCAACTTGTGCCRATCACCTTGCACTTACACTTGTGAAATAGKGGGKTAGGGGTGGGGATACTTGCCTATATTTACTATAMAAGGACRTTGCACAAAATAGGATACGGTTTTTGGCCTTCAGGTCTTGAATAGGGTATACAATTGACCTTCAAGTTGTCTTTAAGTTGTGTTACTTTCTTTGTTTTCCATGTCTTATTTAGGGTGTCAATATTTATCTAGCAGACTGTCAAAATAAATAAGTTATTGATATTATATTTGATGTCTCATGCTTAGGTAACCTTTTTACCCCACTTGACACAAATCCAGATTTCAGATCACTTAATCTTGAGTTAAGGTAAGTTTTTTAATTAAAATAAGACCAGTTGATCTTAAAAGTGTACACTATATAACTTTAATTATTATGTTTTTTGTTGTTCAATATTGGAAGGCTGCGTCTGGATCTGTTTGCAAACATAGTAAGATGTAAATCCATCCCTGGCATTCGAACAAGGTAATTAGACAAAATGAAAATTTATTATATTATACAATCTAATGAATAAATTAACATCAGAATCATAAAACTTGATGTCTTTTTTAACAGGCATAATGATGTAGATTTGGTGATCATTAGACAGAACACTGAAGGAGAATACAGTCAATTGGAGCATGAGGTTTGTAGTTATTGACAACTGTTTTTGTTAATGATGTTTTCGACATATCTTCCATTAAATACCCTTAAGTCATTAGGCAGCTAATTCTTATATCCAGTTCCAATTTTGGAAGCGTACTTAGTGGGTTTGTCTCTTGAAATTTGGCATTTTGAATTTTGTTATTTTCAGCAAGCCATGCCTCTCTTATCTTACATTAAACATGGTCACCAAGGAGGTCATGCATTATATCTAAAAAAATCAAGATTCATTTTGTTGTAGCTCTGCTTTATTTCACAGAATGTTCCAGGAGTTGTAGAAACATTCAAAATTACTACAGAAGAAAAGTGCATGCARATAGCTGAATATGCGTTTCGATATGCTGAGAGACATGGTCGCAAGAAAGTAACCGCAGTTCACAAGGCTAATATTATGTAAGTACATGACCTTAACTTAAGAGTCCAAAGTCCAAAGGGATCTTATCTTGCATGCACTACACGTGGGGCAAGCCAATTTATCAATTTAATTTTAAAGCTTGATGGCTGCTTATTGGTGGATGTGGTGCCCTAGTGTCAATGTGTCCCAGTTTTTCATTAGAAAGTTGAATGCATTGCATCCATAGCCTGTGTTTCTTTTCCTTTCAGAATATTTCAGTCTGTACACAGGCTATACATCCAAAGATGCTTTACATTCACATTCATTCGGGGTGCAGAAAGAATTCAGTTGTTTAGCACCCCTTGAAACCTGGTTTTTGATAGCTGCCTTCATTTCTGTTGTCTTCTATTTTGTTTTCTTGTTTGCAAGACCATCTACTCCAGTTGTTTGTCCATTGTTTCTCAACAAATGATGATATTCGTACCAAGAACTGGTACATATATAACCCAAAATATTAAATACCACCCATGGTTACAAAGACTGTAAAATCTATCATTCATTTCTGAATTTTTATCTAAATTCTTATATCAAAGAGGCAAGATTTTGCTGTAACTCCGAGTTTCGTGCTACGCACTCATCAGACAGTATTTAATGATATTAATTCTTAATTTTCTTTAGAATAAGGTGATTTAACACATTTTATAGGGATCAAAAAAGAGGGGTGGAAATCCACCCTATCCGCCCCAATGATCTGCCCCTGTCACTTCACCTACTAGATGAACCAATATATGAACTGTATGGATACCAGGATTGCCATAAGGAAAAGGCACCTTATACATCCCCCCAGGGTTGCCTTAAGGAAACGCTACCTTTTTCATGAAAAAGCTACCTTTGTTGGTAATTGGTAATATTGAAATTCAGTATATTTTKTATTCTCCAGGAAAATGGGAGATGGATTGTTTCTTCGTGTTTGTGATGAAGAGGCTAAGAAATATCCTAATATTGAGTATAACAGCATGATTATTGATAACTGTTGTATGCAGGTAAACTCATTGACTTTAATTGCTTCATCAAGTTTAATTTGCTACTCCTTTCGTAGAACACAAAYGTTCCAACTAAATGTTATTCATATTCTATCAAGTTTTTAAATAATGTCCAGACACACATCCCTGGAGGTGTGTATACCAATTTCAAGAAAGGTTGTCAGATAAAATGGCGAATATCAATTGTCGAACGGCAATTGCACGACCGAAAGTAGCCATGGGTTTTGCTAACTGATGAAAACACTCCTTATTAGTATTCTTTATATAAAGAATACTAATAAGGGTGACCTTTATCAGATATTAAGGTCCATGACCCTAGCAAAGGTCTCAGGTTTGATAACTGATAATTGACCAATGCAGGATGTCAACCGATTGCAGTGAGCAGCCAAGAGCGGTTCTATTTTACAGTAGTTTATGTGTATTCAGTGTGGGATGACAATATTGTTTGTAAAGTGATTCGCGCATGATCAGTTTACCCCATTTATCTCAAAACATATTTTTACGGCAATTTCTCCAAGAATTTTAATGGATTTGAGTTTCAAATTAGTGTTGGAGTTTTTGAAGCCGTTTAAAACACTCAAGAGAGTGCCTTATCAGGTATAAAGATTCTCGCCTTCGGCTCGAATCTTTATACCTGATAAAACACTATCTCTCGTGTTTTAAACTATACTTAAAAGGTCGACCTGGCGTCATTTTTCAATTCTAAATCTGTAATCCAACTTTGTCCCTTCCATTTYTGATTTGGCTGGTATGTCAAGTGGAAAATGGGGGGATAAGAGTCCTTACACCCCACCTGCCCTTATTGTGTGCCTTATAGATTTCTTGACTGACTTAATAAACCACCGATAAGAATTCAAACAAAAGTTACTGATAAAGGAATACAGAGTCACGTTCTTTTGATTTTTTTATTCGTTTTATATTTATTTTGCTATTATTACAGTTGGTCAGTAATCCACAACAGTTTGATGTGATGCTGTTACCTAATCTGTATGGAAACATTGTCAGCAATATTGGGGCATCTTTGGTTGGAGGGCCAGGAATTGTACCTGGAGAAAATATTGGCCCRGATTATGCTGTCTTTGAATCTGTAAGCTATTTGTGTTATAATCTTTATCTTCAATTTTACTGTTACAACCATAGAAACCATATTTTTCTGCATAACTAGTACGCAATGCGGTTCAAAAGTAGGATTATTGTTAAGAAAATGAATTACAATGTTTTGAAGACATGTTTTGCCCTAGTCTCCTTCGCAGGCAACTCTACTCCCTGGGATTCCTGTGTTTAAGGCAAAAAAGCTGCCGGAGGGAGAGGGGGCTAGGAAGGAAGGAAAAGCTCTCGACACCAGTTCTTCTCGGTCAAGAATATGAACACAGGAAGACCAAGAAAAGAAAAAAATGTTTTGCCCTACACTCACCCCTCATAATTTGTTATAAACAGGCAAGCATGCAATACAGTTATAAATTGCGATGTTCTCCATAGGGCTCCAGGCATACTGGTTTGGATATCAAAGGTCTTGGCATCTCTAATCCAGTTAGTATGTTATTCGCAAGCACCTTGATGCTGGAGTATCTTGAGTAAGTATTATTTACGTTATATATTTTTATTGACCTCGCTTTTACATCCGAAATTCTATGCAATGTGACTTTCAAYGATGTCATATTCCAGTCTTTGCACTGTTGCCGATTGTCCGCTAAAGCATTGAGTGAATGTTTATAGTAAATATCTTGACACATTTGATAGGTTCACTGCCTATGCAGACCTTATCAATAAAGCAATAATGGATGTGATAGGCAAAGAAATTGTAAGTACACTTGGTAGTTATTCATTTAATCTTGTAGGAAGCAGCTCGATGGAGAAGAAGGCCGAAGCTAATGAAAGGTTTTCATTGTCTTCTTCTAGGGGAGGGGTTTTCTTCGAGCGTTTTGAAAATGACCCATAATAGGAATGATAGTGGAATAAAATTTAAWGCCTAGAAGGATTCACCTGTCACTTATGTTTAGGTCCAACTTTGCTATATAATTAGAGCATGGGTATTTTAAATGTGGTTTCTAAGGCCTGATTCAGACGTCGTGTTATTGTCGAACTGAACCAAATCGACGATTTCTGGGGRCTAAGTAAGCCACTTGATTTAAGAATGACCAGAACCGTCTGTTTTAGCTTACAGCTGATGCTGGCGGAAGTGCATCGACTACGGACTTCCTTGCCGCYCTGAAGGACGAATTGGATGCCTCTCCAAGAGTGAAACAAATCTATTGATTATCTTTGATAATATGTAATAATTGAATACTATCTAGTAGTGCATTGAATATAATAAAATCATTGTATCAAATACTCACCCGAGCACGAGTGTTGTCTGCTCTACTCTGCTCTGCTATGAGGRTCGCTGCGGCACCCTGCATTTTGCGCGGCAAGCTTTTTTAGATCATCWTAATGCAATTTGGGTTTTTGATTTCCCAACACCTGTACCTCACCCAGACCTAAAACCGTCAAATATCGGGCGGCAATTTAAAATACCTGTACATGTCACGTGTAGGAAATAAAGGGAAGAAAAACTTCTGCAACAGAGGTTTTAWATTCGTTGTCCTAATCTTTCATCTTTCATTTTTAACTTACGGACTGACCATTTAACTTTTGAGGGGGGGGGGAGGGTTGATTTGTAATATTATTTTGTAAATTTATAAAAGCTTTAGTGCACTGGATTTTGCACAATTTNACCGCAACCTTAACATCTATTTCACCCCGACCTGCTCCCAGTCTGGCCTTGTAGCTCAGCTGGTAGAGCATCGGTGTACAAATCCGAAGGTCGTGGGTTCGAATCCCAGCGAGGTCGGAAATTAATTTTTCCGAATTTATTCCTAAGGGACTTCTCCCGGAATTGCCTCCTTCTAAGCACTATAACTTTCTTTCATTTCTATATCGTGTTTATCATAGTGCCATGCGGTCTTCATATTCATATCTTTACATTATTCTATTACCGCAACCTTAACATCTATTTCACCCCGACCTGCTCCCAGTCTGGCCTTGTAGCTCAGCTGGTAGAGCATCGGTGTACAAATCCGAAGGTCGTGGGTTCGAATCCCAGCGAGGTCGGAAATTAATTTTTCCGAATTTATTCCTAAGGGACTTCTCCCGGAATTGCCTCCTTCTAAGCACTATAACTTTCTTTCATTTCTATATCGTGTTTATCATAGTGCCATGCGGTCTTCATATTCATATCTTTACATTATTCTATTACCGCAACCTTAACATCTATTTCACCCCGACCTGCTCCCAGTCTGGCCTTGTAGCTCAGCTGGTAGAGCATCGGTGTACAAATCCGAAGGTCGTGGGTTCGAATCCCAGCGAGGTCGGAAATTAATTTTTCCGAATTTATTCCTAAGGGACTTTTCCCGGAATTGCCTCCTTCTAAGCACTATAACTTTCTTTCATTTCTATATCGTGTTTATCATAGTGCCATGCGGTCTTCATATTCATATCTTTACATTATTCTATTACCGCAACCTTAACATCTATTTCACCCAGACCTGCTCCCAGTCTGGCCTTGTAGCTCAGCTGGTAGAGCATCGGTGTACAAATCCGAAGGTCGTGGGTTCGAATCCCAGCGAGGTCGGAAATTAATTTTTCCGAATTTATTCCTAAGGGACTTTTCCCGGAATTGCCTCCTTCTAAGCACTATAACTTTCTTTCATTTCTATATCGTGTTTATCATAGTGCCATGCGGTCTTCATATTCAAACCTGTAGGTTAGCAGTCTGACGACTACATGGATTATTTTGTTTTTCTCTAGTTAAGCATATTGACCTCTTGTGCAATTAGAGTTAATACTTCGAAGCATTATATTAATCGTCAAGCTCACCGTTCCTAGTTTTAACATTTTCATTGATTTTTCAGAGATATACTATACTGGTCTAATTATAGTGCGCATACTGCTGTAGTTCCAGTGCGATTCAGTGTAAATTCAATGTCTTATTCACAAGTTATAAACTCTACGATGGCTACATGTCTGCGGGCTGCTCTCTTACAATAACATATGCATGGTTAAAATAAAATGATATGCTAGATGCATTTATCAAATACAAAATATCGCTCAGTTTGATATTTCATAATTTACTTGCAAAAGCGTGACGATAGCGTGACGACTCCATGGCAACGTTACAAAATGTGTCGGCACCGATATCATTGACCATTGTTTTTCTTTAGTAGAGCATCTTGTTTGACCTTGTGCAATCATAAAATATACCTCGGTTGGGCAGCACAATGATCGTCGAGCTCGCCATTCTTGGTTTGACTGTTGCGTTGATTTATCATTTCTTCTTCGAGTTTCGAGGCCACAACTTGCCTCCAGGCCCCCGGCCATGGCCACTGATCGGCAACATAACGCTGTTGGGCAAAGATCTTCATCTTAGACTGACAAAGTTGGGAGAAAAGTATGGCAAGGTTTTTCGATTGTTTACAGGGCACAAAATGATGGTTGTGGTGAGCGGRGATATGATCAAAGAGGCCCTTGTCAGAAACCCTAAGCAGTTTGCTGATCGTCCACTGGAAATGTCCGGAGAAAATACAGTTGATAAAAAGGATTATCAAACCCCTGGGTTGCCRGCTATGTCGTATGGACCAAAGTGGAAAYTATTTCGCAAACTCAATCACTCTGCAATAAAAGTCTATAGCGAAGGCAAATTGCAAGAATGCATTTGCAAAGAGGTGGATGAACTGTGCAAGAGACTTGAATCACAACGTGAAAAGCCAATCGACATTCCCATGGAATTCAATATCTCTGTTACAAACGTGATCATGACACAGATTGCTGGAGAACGTTATGAAATCGATGACCCTGAATTTCGCAGGATATTTGATATCAACAACCAGATAACAAATATTCCTTTTCCATCTGTGAGCAGTCGCTTTTTTCAGTGCTTCATTTCAGGAAATGACGCCACAAAGTTGTTAAAACATCTAGCAAAAGCGCGTTATGATGAAATAAAAGAACGTTATCAGAAACACAAGGAACGATTTGACGGAGAAACTGTTCATGATTTCACAGATGCTCTTTTACTAAAGAAACAGGAGGCTGAGAAAGAGGACAACGACAATAAACAACATCTGACTGACGCCAACCTCATCWCAGCTGGACTTACAGGACTCTTTACTGCTGGCGCAGAAACGACTTCCACCACTCTGGCCTGGGCTGTATTGTTCCTTCTCSGCAATCCAAAGATCCAAGAACGACTTCATCGAGAAATCGTCGACCTGATTGGCCTAGATGAGTTCCCAAATATACATACAAAGAAAAGCCTTCCCATTTTAGAGGCTTTCACAACCGAAGTCTTGCGAGTGGCAAATCTTGTACCACTCGCAGTACCACACATGACAACTGAAGACGTAATGCTTGGTGGGTACAACATTCCCAAGGGTACGCGTGTATTTGCCAACACTTGGTCTCTTCACCACGATCCTGCTATCTGGAAGAATCCTTTTACTTTTAGTGTAGACCGTCACTTGGACGAGTCAGGCAAGTTTRTSTCACCCGCWGGTGGTACGTTTTTGCCGTTTGGAGCAGGACCACGTGTATGCGTAGGCGAGGTGCTGGCCCGTTCGGAGCTGTTCATGTTTCTTTGTCGACTTTTGCAGCAGTTTAAGTTTGAGAATCCAAGTGGTTGTGACTTACCGTCATTAGAAGGAGAAGGGGGTTTTATATTGCGTCCCAAACCATATCTCGTTCGTGTGGTAAAAAGAAACAGACAGGGTTGATTTTGTGGGAAGTTTTCATTGAAGGTGTCAGAAAATAAAGTTAAAAATTTTTCTAAAAATTTCGTTAATTTCGCTGATTTTGTTGTTGTTGTTGTTGTTGTTTGTTTGTTTTTTTATATCGTTGTTCGTTGAAACCAGAGATTCCATATGTTCCTACATGGTTTATAGCCTCATTTCGTGGTTATGATCTATTACTTCCAAACGAATGACCCATAGACACGTTCTGCTTACCGCGAGGAAAGACGTACTGTGAATGAAAAGGGAGACTAAATGAAGTTTATTTAAGAAGCATTAAGGAAGAGACAAACGACAATACAAAACTGCTGCCGATCGATCAAGGGATGTCATTAATAGGTAATTGTTCGCCCTTTCCGGGCTCGTTCGGAAGTGAAACAGCATTATTCAAACAGGTCAGCGGAAAATCTTAAAAAGGCGGAAATAATGGCGGAAAATTCAAGATGACAGACCTTTTTTTGAAGAAACTCGAAACCAGAATGAAAAACACATTTTGCCGTGCTCCCTTGGTTAAACGCGGTGAAATAGGCGACTAACTGCRGCCGCTAATAATGTTTTGTATCTGATGACGTCATAGCCCGAGCGTGTGCAACTTTATCTACCTATATCATTTGTTTCTAGATCAAGCAATGTCATCAAAAAATTCTTACTACATCGCTATTGATGCTAAAAAAATGCATGACTCCTTTGATTTTTTTTTTGCGCTGTCTCAGCCTGTAACGGTAAAACCGCACATTGTAAGTGAAATTGTTTGGAACACCCCACCCTTCTGAGTTGATATTTTCGGGAGATTCATTGATTTTAGTTTATCATTCGATTGCAATCAAGAATGGTATGATACTTATGAAAAGTTTTAACTTAATTTAAAAATTGAAAATATAATTTTTYCCCTCCTTTCACTGGGCTTCCTTTGTAACACAGTGACGAGAAAGGAAATACAGTCGAATCTCTACTTWTACGGACGCTCCCGTAAGAGGACAGTTCTACACTTTTAGCGTTTCCGGACCCTTTCCGAAGTGACCTTTTCTATTAGTGTTTTCAATCTCCCGTAAGCGGACACTTAAATTCATAACTTTTATTTGATCTATTTTAGAGATTAATCATGATAAGTTTTCAGTTTAACAAGCTTGTGAATGATAAGACTAGTATGGCCTTTTTTCTTGAGTTGAATTTGAGCCAATTTATCGAACATTTATCGCCGATAAAGTGATAATCACCTGGCACTTCTAGTCCATAGCCTCCTCCGCAGTTGGTGCGTTCTCCCGTAATAACACCCTTCCTTTGCAGTGTTTCTCGCTCTTTTTAAAAACTTTGTCTGAGCACACAGGACATTAAGAAAATTTTCGATAAGGGTGCATGGAACGAACAGGACAAAAACAATATAATATTTTATTGCTCTACCATATTCCGCAGGATCCCCGAGTTTGTTTCACTTTTGACGGTTTTTTTTAATGGTAATTTTTGCGAAAACGGGGAAAAAATACAGTAACTCTTACTTCTACTGGCCTTCAGCCTTAAGAGAAAACAAAGTTCTTTCAACGTGACTAGAAAGAGTATTTGTAAAATAAATCGCTTAACCATTGAGTCACACTACCTTAATGCTAACGTTAATTATTGGGAATGTTTTATTTGACTATTAAACAAGAATATTTGACGTTATTTAGCCGCTTTAAGATCCATTTCTATTAGACGGACATTTCTACTTGCGGACACTTTTTTCGTTTCCCCAGGGTGTCCGCTTAAGGGAGATTCAACTGTATAAGAGCATCTCAGTTTGATTACGGATTTTGATTTTCCAACAGCTCCAATAACAAATGAGTCACACTGTGCAAAAAAWTCAGTTATTAAAGGTTAATAAGATTCTGTTCAAAACGACAACCGCACGAGCGAGTTTATTCTACTCTCTATATGTTCTTGGCAAAGTTAGCTGCTCTTAAAATAGTCATGACGACAACTTGGGTAGTGTTAAGCCAAGATGGCAAAACCCTCCTGACTCTATCCCAGAACTAACATTTTTCATGTACACACCAAACTCCAAAGTATAAAAGTTAACAGTAAGAACTGGGAATGAAAGGCACCCTATTCCAAATTTAATATGCAATATTTACTAATTGTAAATCTGAATTTGTTTTTGTGACTTATACGATTGATTGTTCAAGTTGCTGTCGGGTGATGTTTTATTRTTCACTCGATAGCGTGACGAATGCATGACATTACACAAAACTTACTATTGGTAGGCTATCATTGACCCTGTCATTTTCTGGTAAAACAATCACATCGTCTGGCTCCTTTTGCAATCATACCTTCGTGGGGCAGCACAATGATCGTCGAGCTCGCCATTCTTAGTTTGACTGTTGCGTTGATTTATCATTTCTTCTTCGAATTTCGTGGACACAACTTACCTCCAGGCCCAAAGCCATGGCCATTGGTCGGCAACATGACGCTGTTTGGTAAAGATCTACACCTGAAACTGACAAAGTTGGAAGAGAAATATGGCAAGATTTATCGATTGTTCACAGGGCACACAATGTTGGTTGTGGTGAGTGGAGATATGATCAAAGAGGCCCTTGTCAGAAACCCTAAGCAGTTTGCTGGTCGATCACAATTCCTAAATAATACTGAGGATTTTCGAAGTCCTGCGTTGCCAGGCTTACCATATGGACCAAAGTGGAAATTATTTCGCAAACTTAATCACTCTGCAATAAAGGTTTACAGCGAGGGTCCATTGCAAGAATGCATTTGTAAAGAGGTGGATGAACTGTGCAAGAGACTTGAATCACAACGTGAAAAGCCAATCGACATTCCAATGGAATTTCATATTTCTRTTACAAACGTGATCATGACACAAATTACTGGCGAGCGTTACGAAATCGATGACACTCGATTTCGCAAGATATTTGATATTAACAACCAGCTCTTGAGTTTGCAATTTCCACTGAACAATCGCATCCTTCAATACTTCACCACACAGGGTGATCTCGTAAATAAGTTTGTCCCTCTCTTGAAAGCRCGTTACGATGAAATGAACGAACGTTACCAGAATCACAAGAAACGATTTGACGGTGAAACGGTTCATGATTTCACAGATGCCCTTTTGCTTAAGAAAGAGGAAGCTGAGAAAGAAGACAGCCAGAATAAACAACATCTGACTGACACCAACCTCATCACAGCAGGACTTTCTGGGCTCTTTACTGCTGGTGCAGACACGACCTCTACAGCCATGTCTTGGGCTGTATTGTTCCTTCTCCACAATCCAAAGATCCAAGAAAGACTTCATCAAGAAATCGTCGACCTTATTGGCCCTGATGAGTTCCCAACTTTGCAGGCTAAGAAAAGCCTCCCCATTTTAGAGGCGTTCACAGCCGAAACCTTGCGAATGGGAAATGTTTTACCACTTGCAATACCACACATGACAACGGAAGACGTAATGCTTGGTGGGTACAACATTCCCAAGGGTACGCGTGTACTTGCCAACACATGGTCTCTTCACCACGATCCTGCTATCTGGAAGAATCCTTTTACTTTTAGCGTAGACCGTCACTTGGACGAGTCAGGCAAGTTTGTCTCACCCRCAGGTGGTACGTTTTTGCCGTTTGGAGCAGGACCACGTGTATGCGTAGGCGAGGTGCTGGCCCGTTCGGAGCTGTTCATGTTTCTTTGTCGACTTTTKCAGCAGTTTAAGTTTGAGAATCCAAGTGGGTGTGACTTACCGTCATTAGAAGGATTAATGGCTATAGTAATGCGTCCCAAGCCATATCTCGTTCGCGTGGTAAAAAGAATCTAGTGTAGCAGTAGCTTTAATCGTCAGAGAGTTACTACTAACTCTTCGTTAGCACTCTTCTCAGAAGTTAACAGTTAATCAGTGGTCTTCAAAAGCTTTCCTAATTAAAAACTTTAGCAGATGCCGTCAAAACCGATGAAACTATAAAGAATGAACAAGGATAAGGCCTTTTGTGTTTCTTGTGCAAGATATCACACAGCGAAGCAAACGTGTTAAGATGGAAAATGATGACAAAATATAAAGTAACCCTATGATAGCAAGTAATAGCATAACCCAAAAATRCAATCAGTGTCTCAGTCATTTGTAAATGAACCCTGTAGCTTAAGTCACTTATACACAGAAAACGACTTAAAAGAAAGGTCTGAATTATGTAATGCAACTGTAACTTAGTAGCCATGTCCAATTTTAATGTTGCCAATACTTTTCTAAAGTCATTCGATGTAACTTGCTTATGAGTGTGATCATATAATTGTTGATCATACAAAACTAATCAATGAATATTTCCACAAAATTTTGCAAACAAAATTGCGCCTTTCATGGCAAATACAATTTAAAACAATCAATTTCAATCCAGAAGGTCGGCATACGACAAAACGTTTTTGTAATATTGCTAAATATTACTTAAATTTTAATTTACAATTCCTTCTAAAACTTTTGATAAAACACTTATTGTTTTTRTAAATCTCTTTCAATTCGGCCTKTACAGATCGTTGAATCTGTACATTTTACAAATATTTGTTTAACACTTTTGCTGTTTCGGAACTTCTGATTACCTTTAATTACTTTCAAACAATGCCTCGTACGTGCGCTAYAGATCKGGACTAATCCTTTAATATTTGTTTATCGTACATTTTCCGATGTCATGCGCACTTGAATTCTGCTTACTTAAGGGAATTCCGAAATCGATAATTAAGTGCGGATGACATCAACTTTGATAGTTTCATAATTTCAAATAATTTTATTGTTTACATKTCTAASTTTTCATAATGTTCAACTTTTCCTACATTTTTCATATTGTATCTTTATAAGGGTCAGTCGTTGATTTAAGGTTATATATCTTTGGTATTATGACTTGTGGGAAATACGCCCAGTTATGTAAATATAATCTTACATAGAGTGACGTATCATTCAGTATAAAAAGGGCTAGTTTACCTAGTTCTGGAGAGTTTTGTAAGGACCTTTTAAGTTCAATAAATCTGTTGTGTGCCTACCTGAGTCGTATTTGGAGTACCTCCCGTATTGCTAAKAGCGAGTGCCTCAACATARCCCAAGACCCAACTTACAGTGGGAAAAGCCCATTTTACATTTTCGCCTTTTGCGCATAGTCAATATATCCAAACAGCACTAAACACGCTTGTCTTTKAGAAATTATCAACAATTTTAATCGGCAAATTTGCACAATTTGGCAAATTTCGTAGGAATTGTATATGAATTGTGTATGTTTATTTAGATGGCGTCAATAAACGGTGGAGGAGATTGCCCGTGTAGCTACGTGYCCCGTTGGAAAGGATTGGGAATAGTGAGGGAGAGTTAATTAGTAGCCCAAATATGCRCTCTTTGAGCGTCTTGCCCACTTGGGGATACCTGTTGTAAACAAGATGGCTGCTGATAAACTTGTRAAAGTTTTGGGTCTTGCGCCACATCCATACCATCGTTCAAGTTTCTTCAAAGAGGTCTACAGGTCCTCTTTAAATGTAAAACCACTGAATGACGATAGGCTTTCTAGAAATGCCGGCACATGTATACAGCTGCTTATGAAGGGAGACGATGTCGACCCATGGCACAAAATCATGTCAGATGAAACTTTCCTATACCACAAGGGATCTTATTTAAAGCTGTATACAATTGATTCAAAAGGAAACTTAGGATTTAAAGTAATAGGTGATGCATCGCAAGATCCCGAGGCAGTATATTCAGCTGTGGTTCAGGCGGGGACGTGGTTTGCTGGCGAACTTGTGGATCAAGAGAAAGACTCATTTGGGTTGTTCAGTGTATTTGTGTGCCCAGGATTCGATTTTAACGATTCAGAAGTCGGGAMACCTGACGAACTTGGGGTTTTATTTCCCCAGCACAAGGAAATAWTTCAGCGTCTTTGCCTTCGTAAAACGATCTGATTTAGAGGTGGAATGGACTTGGACTTGGACTTGGACACGGCTGGACTGGAACGAACTGGACTGTCCGTTGAGGAAAGAAAGTTTTACCTTGATATGAAATTTGCCAATTATTTGTATACAACTATGAATCAATGATTTTATAGATAAAATATGAATTATTGAATAATAAATATATTTTAAAACTAGACGAGATTATCTTGGTTTATAAACATTATGGGAAACAAGTGGAATTAAACATTCCATGTTTCACCATCTAACAAGCAAATGCATGTTTAGTGTTTTAACGAAACAAAATTCCATGACGCGACTGGGGC